GTGAGTGTTGATCCACTGATACTGCAGTCATTCATAGTAAACACTATAGTGTTTTTAAACCAAACTAAATATTTTAATAAATATTATAGCCTTTACTCTATGTTAATGAATGCTGCAGCATACTTTAGTAATAGCTATCGTGAACTGATTAACTAATAAATATGGTAATGTACTTTAGTTTTTCCTACAGTAAACTGTGGTGTTGTGTAGTACAATATAACATATAACTGTAGAAATCTACAGTATTGGGTCATTTGTTTATATTACTATAGTTGTTGAGCGCATAGCAACTGTAGAATCGCCAACTCTTGATTAATTTCTATAGGTGTTACCATAGCAACTGTAGAATCGCCACAACAGATGAATTTCTATAGGTGTTACCATAGCAACCGAAAAATCACCATGACAGATGAATCTCTATAGTTTTTGTTATCATAGCAACTGTACAATCACCACGACAATTGAATTTCTATGGTTTTTGGTACCATAGCAACTGTACAATCACCATGACAGATGGATTTCTATAGTTTTTGTTACCAAAGCAACTATAGAATCACCACGACAGATAACATTCTATAGGTGTTACCATAGCAACTGTAGAATCACCACGACAGATGAATTTTTTTTTTGTGTAACCATAGCAATTGTAGAATCACCACAACAGATTAATTTCTATATGTGTAACCATAGCAACTATAGATTCACCACAGCAGATACATTTCTATAGTTGTTACCATAGCAACTATAGAATCACTACAACAGATTAATTTCTATCATTGTTGTGTTACCATAGCAACTGTAGAATCACCACAACAGATCAGTCGCTATAGTAGTTGTTACCATAGCAACTGTAGGATCACCACAACAAATCAGTTGCTATAGTTGTTGCCATGGCAACGATAGAATTACCATAACAGATCATTTACTATAGTAGTTGTTACCATAGCAACTATAGAATCACCGCAACATATCAATTATTTTAGTTGTTGTTACCATAGCAACTATAGAATCACCATAACAGATCAATTGCTATAGTAGTTGCGTTACCATAGCAACTACAGAATCACCATAACAGATCAATTGCTATAGTGGTTGTGTTACCATAGCAACTATAGAATCACCACAATGGATACATTTTTACTTTACTATCTACTCTACTATATGTATATGTACTTCTAAGGACCCCATCAATAATGAGATGTTTCGTCTCATGGGGTTATTCCATTTAATACATTAAATTTAAAAAATTATGTTTTTTTCCTTTTTTTCTTTTTTTTCTTATTTGTTTATTCATTTGCTTATTCTTTTTTTATTCATTCATTTATTTATTTACTTATTTATTTATTCATTCATTCATTTATTCATTTATTTATTCATTTATTTGTTTATTTTTTATTTATTTGTTCATTCATTTATTTATTTATTTATGTATCATTCATTTAGTCATTGATTTATTCATTTATTCATTCATTCATTCATTCATTCATTCATTCATTTATGTATCATTTATTTAGTCATTGATTTATTCATTTATTCATTCATTCATTCATTCATTCATTCATTTATGTATCATTTATTTATTCATTTATTCATTCATTTATCTATTTCTTTATTTCTTTATTCATTCATTCATTCATTTATTTATTCATTTATTTATATATTTTTATTTTTTCTTTATTTATTTTGAGGGACTCAGTGGATCAAACGGGACAGTAAAATGTATAGTATAACAAAATGCTGTTTCGTTGTAGAAGTGCTGTTCGTAAAAATGCATTAGTACAGAAATACAAATAAAACATAAATAAATGTTTTAAATACCACACAGTAGCCCGAGTTTTGGAAAACCTTCAACTTGGTCGGAGTTTTCAGAGCCTTCAGGAGTTTTTCATACTCCATTTTCATGTGGACAAACAGCAAAACCCCATAGAAAACAGTGTGCTTTTGAAAATACCCGTGTTCCTGTGGACAGGGCCTAATTTGACTCCAAATGTGAGACGTGAGTATAAGAGTCTCACACGTCCGTCCAGCACGTGTTTACAATGAAAAACAATAGAAAGGGAGCGCTTTGGAGAGAGAAAAAGTTCATTCTGTGTGAACGGCCCCTGAATGATCAGTATCTGCTCGTCTCTCAGTGTCTCTGCACTGTGTGAGGTGCTGATCTTCAGTGTTTCTGATAAGACCAGTTCACCTCTTCTCTCCTCACCAAACAAAAGCTCTGATAAGCTGCTGCTTCTTATGGGATTTTCTCTGGAGGAGTGTGTGTGAGATAAGAGCGACTCCTTCAGTCTGCGGGTCCACAAGCCCATCACACACATACACACACGCACTGCTTCTGTCCAGAGATGGAGATGCGGGATCTGCTCGCTCTAATGATGCTGTCTCCTGCCACCAGGTGCATGCTGGGATTTGGTGACCTCCGGTGTGGAGGTCAGGAGGATGCTTCTGTCCGCGTCTCTTCTGACTGTCTGGTTTTGTTGTAGCCTGTTGTCAGTTTCCTGCA